CCTCGATTGCGTCGGCGATGACGTCGCCGAGGGCTTTGGCGCTGGTGCTGGCGGAGTTGGCGGTGGTGCTGGCGTTGCGGGAGGCGCGGGCGTAGGCGTTGGCGTGGGCGCTGGCGTAGGCGCATGCGTCCTCCGCCACCTCCTCCTCGACCTCGTCCTCATCCCCCGCCGCCTCCGCCTCCACCTCTGCCATCGTCGTCTCCTCGTCCTCCCCGTCCTCATCCACCTCGGCGTTGGGGTTGGCGTAGGCGTAGGCGTCGACGTCCGAGTTGGCGTCGGAGGTACTGGCGTTGCTGGCGTCAGGCATGGCGTTGGTGCCGGCGTACGCGCTGACGGTGGTGCCGGTGTAGGGGTGTTCCTCCTTGGCTTCATCGGCCTCCTCCTCCACCTCCTCCTCCTCCGCCTCCTCCTCCACCTCCTCCGCTGTTGCCGCCGCCTCTTCGTCCTCCACGTCCTCACCCACCTTCGCGTTGGGGCTGGCGTAGGCGTAGGCGCTGGCGTCCGAGCTGGCGCCGGAGGTGCTGGCATTAATGGCGTCGGGGGTGGCGCTGGTGCTGGCGTAGGCGCTGGCGTTGGAGCCAGCGTGGGCGCCTTCCGCCTCGGCCTCCTTAGCCTCCACGTCCGCTGCTGCCGTCGTCGCCTCCTCGGTCTCCTCGTCCTCGTCTGCCTTGGGGTTGGGGCCGCCGTAGGCGCAGGCTCTGGCGTCCGAGCTGGCGTCGGAACTCCCCGCCGCGCCGGCGTCTGAGCTGGCGTTGGTGCTGGCGGCGGTGCCGGCGTAGGCGCCTTCCTCCTCGGCCTCCTCGGCCTCTCCTTTCGCTGCTGCCGTCGCCGTCTCCTCGTCCTCCTCGCCCTCAGCCTCGGTGTTGGGGCTGGCGTAAAGGTAGGCGCTGGGGCCCGAGCTGGCGTCGGAGGTCACGGCCGTGCTGGCGTCGGGTCTGGCGTTGGTACTGGCGTAGTCGCTGGCGTCGGTGCCCGCGTGGGCGCCTGCCGCTGTGGCTGGGTGGGTTACCTCATCCGCTGGTGGGTGTGCTGCCTCTGGCCGCTCCCTCCTCTGCCTCCTCCTCCTCCTCCTCCTCCTCCTCCTCCTCCTCCTCCTCCGGCGGACGCGGGTCTGCCGCGCGCCGGAAGCACTGTGGTCGGGAGCCGGCGCAGCCCCCCAACCCCAGGACAAGCACACCGCTCAGCGGCATGCAAGCCTCAGAGCCGAGGGGGTGCGCCGACCGGGGCCTATACCTCGCTTACACGGGAGCTTGGCGCCGATGGCCCGCGGCCTGCGGTCCCACCGCCAGGCGCCACACCTCCTCCAGGAAGCACAGCACCAGCGCGGTCCCACCGCCAGGCGCCGCTCGGCCCCGCAGCGCCGCAGCCGCCCCGGACGCCCCCGCGCCGCCGCCGCGGGCCGCCGCGCCACCAGCCGTCGCCCCGCCGCCGGCTTGCGCCGGGCGCCTGCCGCGCCGCCGGCAGCAGCCGCCGCGCCTGCCCCGCGCCCGCCTGCCGCCGCCCGCGGCCCGAGCAGCTCCGGCAGCAGCCTGGCGCCCCTGCCCAGCTCGCCCTCCTGCTCCTCCGAGCGCCCGGCGTAGCCTCCCCGCCCAGCAGCCCGCGCCCGCCCTGCCGGCCGCGCAGCGCCCGAGCCAGAGCGCGCCCCGCCGCCACGCCGCCGGCCGCGGCCCGGCGCCCCGCGCCAGCCCAGCTGCAGTGCCCAGCAGCGCAGCGCCTCAGCCCCGCGCAGCAGCAGCCGCCCGGCGCAGCGCCCAGCAGCACGCCGCAGGCCTAGGCCGCGGCCCCGGTGCAGCCTCAGCGCAGCCCGGCCGCGCGCCGCAGCTGGTGGGCCAGCTCCCGCTGCAGCGCGCAGCTGAGCACCCGGTAGGCTCGCGCAAGTTCTTCCTGCTGCGAGTCCTCCGGGAGCTCCCTGGCCAGCGCCAGCAGCCAAGCCCGCGCTTCCCCGCCGAGCCGGCCGCCTGTCTCCACGGCGAACGCCGTGAGGCGCTCGCCTGGGTAGCGGGTGTGTTTGGCGCGCTCGGCCCGGCGGGCTGCCTCGCCTGCGCGCCTTGCCGCCGCGCGCACGGCGGGCTCGTCGCCTGCCGCTGGGTGGCGGACAGTCACGTCCAGCCAGCGCCGGCCGTCGAGGTCGTCATACTCGACGTCCAAGATAGCCCGCTCCAGGACCGGCGCCTGCCCCCGCCGCGGCGCGCGGGCCCTGTCCCAGGTGGGCACCCGCTGTTCGTACTGCGGCGAGCAGTGGCACCACCTGCCAGCGAGGCTGCCCGCGGCGCGCGCCACGCCCGCGTGCCGCTTGACGACGCCTCCGCCCGGCTGACACACGGCCGCGTGGAATCCCGCCGTATCCAGCGGCGCTTGGCACGGCACCCCGCCAGCCGTCAGGTTCTGGCACGTCGCCGCCGCTCGCGCGAGCTCGTCAGTGGAGCACTCCGGCCGCGGCAGCTGGACGCGGCTGCGGGTCGCCGTCTGCCAGTGCGGGTCCTCTAGCGTGCAGGCCAGCTCCGCCGGGTACTGTAGGTAGGCGCCGGCCCCGGGCCCTCCCGCGGACAGCAGCAACGCCTGGCTGCAGTGGTGCATTCGCTGCTTCGCAGCAGCGTGGGTTCTCTTATGCACCATAGCAACCAGGGTCTTCTGCTTTGTCGGGTGCCCCAGCAAGGCCTCCAGGGGCGCCGCTGGCTCCGGGTCCGCGCCCTGGCGCGCCAGCTCAGCCCGGGTCGCCTCGAGCGCGGCTGCGGCCTGCGGCAGCGCCGCCAGCATGTCTGCAAGAGTGGAGACTCCTGAGACACCGAGGTCGTCCCGCACCTCCTCCGCCGCCTGCGTCCACGCCGCCCAGCAGGCGGGCGCCCGCCTCGTGGCCGCCCACTGCGCACCGGCCCCTCCGAGTTTCGCCGGCAGGCCTAGCAGCTCGCACGCCTCTGGCCCGAGCGGCCGCCCCAGCAGCTTCTCCCAGCAGCCCCGCAGCGCGGCGTCGTAGCGGAAGGTCTCCTCCCCCGCGGCCAAGGCCAGCTGCAAGTTGTGCTGGCTGGCGTTTCCGGCGTAGGTGTTGAGCAGCGCGCCCGCCGCCTGCCGTTTGAGCCCCCCTTGCAGCAGCCGCTCCAGGTTGGCCCAGAGCTTCTCGAGGCGCGCCGTGGCCCCGTCCAGCCCGCAGCCCTGCCCGCCGAGAGGGAGCGCCGTCCCGTCGGCGTCTCCTGGAGCCCGGAGCTGCGCGCCGAGGACTGGCAGCACGGGCGCACACTTGCTCGCGAGCTCGGCCTCGACAGCCTGGACTCCCGCCGGGGACCAGACCAGCGTTTTGTCGTCGTTCAGCTCCAGCCCCAGCGGCGCGAGCACCTCGCGGAGGCCTGTCAGCGTGAGGGCGCCGAGGCCCGCCCGCGCCACCAAGTAGGAGTCGTCGAGGTAGGAGTACAGGCGGGCGGCTGGGTCCAGCTGCTGCAGCCTGTGCAAGAGCTGCTCAAGGGCGCGCCGCTGCCCCACGGCGAACGCCGCCGGAGACAAGGGGTCTCCCTGATCGAACCCGCGCCGGCTCCAGACCGTTTCGAAGCGCCCGTCGGCCGTGCGCCAGTAGTGCTCTGCGGGGCCTGGGTACCAGGCCCTCAGGGCCGCCGCCACCTCGGGGACAGCTTCGTCCAAGGCCTCGAAAGCGGGGCCGCGGCGCATCCGTTGGAACGCGGCCTTGACGTCCACCTTGATGAACGTCGCGTTCGGCCGGGCCTCCGCGAGGGCCTGCAAGCTCTTTACCAGCACGTTCGCGCCGCCCTTGCGCCCGACGCCGTACTGGTGCTTCCCGGCAGCCTCAGCCAGGTGGGCCTTCCGCGCCCGCGCCAGCGCGCGCAGCCCCAGGCGGCGGAGCGTGGCGCCCACCAGCAGGGGTCTGACCTCGCCGGCGCCCTTTGCGAGCGCCACGAGCTCCCCCGTGCGCAGCGCCTCGAGGACCTCCCGCGGCAGCTCCCCGAAGGCGACCCTCGCGGCAGCCCGGGCGAGCAGCCGCGCTGTCTCGCCGTCGCTCGCCCCCAGGTGTTCCAGCCGCGTCCCCAGCAGGCCCGGCGCCGCCAGCCGGGGAGGGCGCCGCAGTAGTTTGCGCACCTCCTCCTCCACCTCCTCTCTGAGCTCGGGGCTGGGCGGCGCGGAGGGCGGGGCAGGGCGCGGCGCCGCGCCGGCGCCGTCTCCGGGCTCGTCTGGCGGGAAGCTCGCCCGCAGTTTCTCCAGCGTGTCAGCCGTGCGCGGCGCCAGTTCGGCCTGCACTGCTGCCGCCAGCGCGCGGGATTCCTCCCCGGCCGCAGCCAAAGTGTGCACCCGGTGTGCTTTCTGCTTGTCGGTTGTCTTCCTTGGTGGCGCTCGCGGGGGTGGGCCGTTCGTGGCCGAAGCCCACAGCTGAGCCCACTGTCCGCCCCACCATAACGCCAGCCGCTCTTCCAGTAGCTCTGCACACGTCGGGCCCACCCCCCGGGGCCGAGCGAACAGCACCAAGTCGAACAGCAGAAGCATGTTCCACTCTGGTGTGGCATCCCCGTGTTGGCCCGCCTCTTCGAGCACCTCCAGCGCCTTGCGTCTCGCATGCGTCACCGCACCGCGAAACCTGTCTGGAACTTGCACGAATGTGGGGACCCCCGCGCGTAGGGCTGACTGCCACGCCAAACGCTGCCACCAGGCCCGGTCAGGAAGGGTCGTCTCGTCCCAGGCCGGATGCATCACCGGAACGTTGCACTGCTCCTGCTCCCGCTCGTGCCCCTGGCCGTCGCTGTTCCGGCTGGCGGCCGCCGAAGCCAACGCCGTGCGCGCCTCCTGGACGTGGACGTCCTGGGCACGAGGGGCCATAGGACGAATGTCATCGTCGGGGGCCGCCTTCGCAGAGACGCATCCCAAGCAAAGCCAGCTCCTCGCGTTCCCGTCTGGGCTCCTCCTCCTCCTCCTCCTCCTCGCGTTCTCGTCTGGGCTCCTCCTCCCTTGGTGCCCTGTCTCGTCCTGTGCCGCTGCCTCGCGGTGGCGGTGGTGTTCCGCGCCCCCGGCTCTCGCCCGGCCGGGGGCCGCCCACCTCAGGGGCGCGCCGGCATGCGGCTAGGGATTGGCGCCTCGGCATGGCGCGCGTCCGCCAGGACGTCCTGCAGCCATGGCTCGTCGCCGTCGCAGGCGAGGCCGTCCAGGGGCAGGTGCAGCAGGGAGGCTGCGAAGGCCCTCTGCGCCGCCACCGAGGCGAGGCCAGTCCACCGCTGGATCCAGGCTGCCTTCACCGAGGCGCGCAGTAGCTCTGGCGCGGACCGGGCTTTGCAGTCAGCCAAGAGGCGCACGAACTGGAGGGCCTCCTGCGACCACCGGCCCCCCACCTCCAGGGCCATGACCACGAGCCGGCAGCGCCTCCCGGCAGCCCCATTCTACCCCATGGTTCCACCTTCTTGCCCAGTTTTGGATGCTTCAAATCTGCCTGGACGTCGTCGGTCGCAAGACAGCTCTTCCTGGGATCATTGTGGTCTGGGGTTCGTCACAGCAAATTGTACCGCATGGTACTCTCTCAAGAAATTATTGGCCCTGACCGCGGCGCGCGTTGTGCCGTGTCAGGAGCACGTGCTCACCAGCTCTGAGGACCTGCGCAAGGCTCAGGCTTGGTGTGTTCGAAATGGGTGGAAGGTGCATTTTGAGCCAGGAGTTTGGGGGCCTGGAAGGGGCCCATCCTCGGGCGTCGGGGTCCTGGTTCGGTCCTTCCTCGGTTTGCACTACCCCGATGTTGGGCCTCGTTTGAAAAAAACATCGGGCTACCGGGGTCCTGGCCCACCTGCCTGGCCAGGCCAATTTTTGTTTTCCTGTTTTTGCTGTGAGTGTCTAGTTGCAGCATTGTGTCGGCCTCAACGAAACCAACAGAGACATCCTGGCCTGTGTCTCGGCGCGGGCCAGGAGCTTGTCTGTGCCGTGCGTCATCGGTGGCGATTTCAACATGGAGCCATCGACCCTGTGCACCTCACATGTTACTTTCAGGCTCGGTGCCGAAGTGTGCTTCCCCTCTGGAGTTGTGGGCACGTGCAGGTCTACGGCGGGCATCGAGATGCATGGTTATATGGCGGTTGAGGCGCGGGTAGCTCAAGCTATCGAGAGCGCCAAGATAATGGGCGATTCGCATCTGGCGACCTACGATCCCGTTCCCATTAAGCTTCGCCCTCAGTTCGCCTCCGTCCGCGCCCTCACCTTCAGTACCCCCCCCTTTTCCCAAGGTCCGCCCTCCTGGCCCCCTCCCCTAGCCGCCCAGGGATTGGGGCATTCCGTCTCGGATGGCCCCCCGAGCCCTTGCCGCGGCTGAGAAAGGCGAAACGGACCAGATTCAGCTTAACTTGGATGTGTTGCATCGGGAATGAGGCACTGCGGCCGAAAAGGAACTCTAGGTATCTCTCTCTCTCTCTCTCTCTCTATATATATATATATATATATATATATGTATATGTATATGTATATGCATATATATATATATATATATATCGGAGGTGAGGGGGTGAGATCGAAGTGGAACGGAGAGCCCCCCCACCAGGAAATCGATTTCGGTTTCGTGCTCGCGCGCGCCGTGCATGCGAGGCGAAGCTGCGTGGGCGGGCGAGAAAAGTCTCATGTGGCTGAGGCGCGGCCGGACCAAATGACTCCCTTCCGGGCGGCCGGGGGCCCGCGGTGTCCCGCCGGTGTCCCGCTGGTGTCCCGTGTGGCTGAGGCGCGGCTGGACCAAATGACTCCCTTCCCGGCGGCCGGTGGCCCGCGGTGTCCCGCCGGTGTCCCGCGGTGTCCCGCGGTGTCCCGCGGTGTCCCGCGGTGTCCCGCGGTGTCCCGCCGGTGTCCCGCGGTGTCCCGCGAAGATGATGATGATGAGATGATGATGATGATGATGATGATGATGACGATGATGCGGATGATGATGATGATGATGAGATGATGATGATGATGGTGCCCAGATGAAGATGATGATGATGTTGATGATGGTGTCGATGGTGGTGATAGTGTCCCGATGATGAGGATGATGATGCTCATGCTGATTAGGTTAATGATGATGACGATGGTGGTGTCCCGATGATGATGATGATGATGATTCCGATGATGTTGGTGATGATGATGTTGATGGAAATGGTGTCCCGGCGATAATGATATTGATGATGATGTTGATGATTATGGTGTCCCGATGATGATGCTGATGATGATGTTGATGGTGATGATGCTGATGGTGATGCTGATGGTGTCCCGATGATGATAATAATGATAATGACGATGTTGATGATGATGTTGCTCATGATGATGATGGTGCCCCAATGATGATGTTGTTGATGATGATGTCGATGATGATGATGATGATGCGATGATCATGATGATGATGGTGTCCCGAGGATGATGACGATGTCGATGATAATGTTGATGATGAGAACGATGGTGATCGTGATGGTGTCCCGATTATGATGATGATTCTGATGATGCTGCTGATGATGATGAAGATGATGACGATGACTGTGTCCCGATGATGATGATGATGATGATGATGATGATGATGAGATGATGATGGTGATGATGATGATGTTGTCCCATTGATGATGCTGACGTTGATGATGGTGTTTATGATGATGATTATGACGGTGCCCGCATGATGATGTCGATGGTGGTGATGATGTTGATGTTGATGATGTTGATGATGATGATGCTGATGATGATGATGATGACGTTGATTGTGAGAGCGATTGTGATATCGATCGTGAGATCGATATTGAGACCGAATGTGAGATCGATTGTGAGATCAATTGTGAGATCGATCGAGCGAGATCGATCGAGTGAGACCGATAGTGATATCGATACTGAGATCGATAATGAGACCGATCGAGTGAGACGTTGGTTCCCCCCCCCGAACCTCCTTATCACCCGAAGGGTGGTCGTATAGGTATATAATTGCCAGTCAACGGCGCCAGAGGACGCCAGGCGCAGCTCCACTGGGTCAACGTGGTCGACGCGTCTCACCGCTCGATGTCTGGGATTTCCCGCGCGTCAAGGGACGCCACCAGGCTGAGGTGGCTCTGCTCGCGCTAATTACCTCCTCTGGCTCCAGCTGTGCGCGCTCGGCCCCCAGTGCCGAGCGGCGCAGGTGGCGCCCCCCCCCCCCCGTTTCGCCTGCAGCGGCATCGAGAATCGACGTTGGAGCGGAGCGGGGGCCAGCAATAGCTCCCGCGCCAATTTCTCTTCGCCCGGCTCGGAGGAGCGCAGGCAGAGGCACCTGTTGGAGGCAGCGGGCGGACTGCCCCACCCCTCCTTCGAGGCTCGGCTCTTGGGACGGCGACGACCTCGCTCTCCTCCAGGCCGCGCAAGATCGCATTGCCTACAGCCCCCCCGGTAGGTATGAGGTTGAAGGGGGGCCCCAGTACACGCTCGATTCGGTCTCTATGGCCCTTGCTGCGGCTCAGAGCCAGGCCCGCCAGGAGGACCGCAAGAGCTGGCTGGAGCGGGCTCGTCATAACATCGAAAATGGAACCCGCCATGATCGCGGGGTTGCTCGGGGGGCCGCTGGGTGGACCCCCATCTACGACCCTCTCTGCCAAAAGTGAAGTGGTTTCGGAACCTGGGGCCCTCTTGCCGTCTGAGCTCGAGAATGTTGCGCTGTTTTGGCACGCGCAACCCTTTCCCGAGCCTCGTCAAATCGGCCATAGATTTGAGCCCCCCCAGCGCTCTCTGTGGGCGACCTGCGCCGAGCGGCCCGATCGTTCCCAGCCCGCGCCGCCTCGTCTGTGGATGGGTTCCACGTTCGATCGTGTCCGCACTTGTCCAACCAAGCCCTCGAGGTCGTGTCGATCATGATCTCGATGTCGGAACGACCTGGCATGCTGCCTGGTCAGATGAAGGCTGTTCCGATGATCGTGCTTGCCAGGCCTGGCGGGGGGGGATGCCCCGATTTGATTATTCATGGCCATGCATCGCTTATGGGTGGGAGCTAGGCGCGGCTTCGCTCAGCAGCGGGAGTCCGACCACGCCCGTGAAGTTTTTTTTTGCTGGCGCCGTTGCTTTTAGCGCCGATGCGGCGCGGGGGCAGGGGGTTCGGAGCGAGGTCGCGGCTGCTTCCCAGGGATGCTCAGGTTCGGTGCTCTGGAATCTCCTCACATTCTACGGGCCCGTGGACCTTGACCTCCTCCTCGCCCGCTGCCGCCAGCACTCGTTCCCAATGCAGATCGCACGTGCCCGCTACTCGGCCTGCCGCTCGCGCGGATATGGCCATGGGCGGGCGCGCCGAGGGCCCGCAGTTTGCCTGGCGCGGCTTGGTTGCTGGTTGAGGATTCACGACCACGTTGATTAGCGCCTGCTCGCTTGCGGCCTTGGACGGCTTTAGCTTTCCTAGATCGGTTTCATTGCGTGTCTATGTTGGCGGCTGCACTCTGTCGTGTTCTGAACAACCCAGGGCTGTCGTTCAGGACCTTCTTGAAGGTGCGTTCATGGTGCAGGTTGCGATCGAGTCCGATCTAGGCTGTGATATCTCTGTTAAGAAGGCAGCCGTCGTCGCCTGTTCGCCCCTCGTTGCTACGGAGATCCGCCGAGGCCTTGGCGCTGTCGGCGGGGCCCCGCGCGCTGCCGCCATCGGCCCGGGCGTGGACGACGCGGCGGGAAAACCAAGGGCGATGGCTTAGGGAGGCGGAAAGACTCAGGCTCGCAAACAAGATGTCAAGAAAAAGGTTCACAGATCAGGCGTTACCAGTGGCCCTCTGGCCAGCGGGACCTACGGGTGCGAGGTGCATGGCGCCTCGGACTTTGAGCTCGCCAAATTGCAACGGTCTTTCGGACGTGTCCTGGACGTCGCTCGCGGACTGCAGCGCGGCCGTTCGCCGCCGGTCCCGCGCGGCATTGCGTCGTTGTCCCGATTGTTCGCTGATCCAAAAAGCTTGTTTTTTATTGGGGGGGGGGGGCAGCGCCCGTTAAGGGGGGGTGGGGGGTCCGGCCCCAAGTAGGGGGTAACGGTGACGCGCGGCGGAGCCCTCGCACGGGCCCTGGTACTTATTACCAGCACATCTGTCGGCACGGTAGGCTTCGTCGTCGTCGTCGTCGTCGTCGCCGCCGCTGTCGTCGTCGTCGAAGCCGACCGTGCCTGTGCACACTACACAGGCTCTGTGCACCGCGATGCTTTTGTACACCACAACTGCAGCAGAAATGGTGTGTGTATCACGGCGACTGAGCGCATCATGACAGTTGGCGCACACCACGGCGCCCGTGTGCACCACGGCTGCTGTTTCAACGCCCCGTGTTTGCACCAGAATGCCGGCGTGCACCACAAAGCTTGTGTGCACCTGTAAGGTACCGGCGGAGCGAAAGTCCAGAAGATCGCTCGGGGCCCAACCGTGGCCCTTTCATTATGTGAGCTGCGT